TTCCTGAATGAACTAAGAAAGTTGTGCACCAAAACTATCTTTAGCATAAAAAATAAATCACATCAAACATATTCCGAACACTATTGTACACTTTCTGCTGTGCAAGGCTATATTTGCTCACAGAAGAGCTATAGTCAATAATAAGCTATAACAGTTTCTCATAGCAAATATCAATCTTGTCACTTACCTTTTGCCAGAAGTTACCTAGCAAGTAGACTTGAAAGGAAAAGCAAAATTATGATCAAGTTAGCTCTTTGGAGTGGCAAGTCTGAAGGCCTCATCTAGGAGATAAGTAAGGTGAACATACACCCTGGTTTGCTGGGAGAGCTCCACATTAGCTAGTTCTGATGTAAGATTTAACAATTGTCCCTGGTCCCCTTTCTGCCCCCCACCCAAACCTTGCACACTCTTAAGACAATCTCACCCTAGAAAGTGAAATAACAATTTTATAACATTAATAACTCAAGCAAACTTTCTGTATACCTGCTGTGACTGATATAGCACAGGTGTTCAACAGACTCATTTTCTATAATGTCAACAGGGCTGACAATGACCACTTTGGCAGGCCCTACGTAGCATTAATTACCATTGTAGGATGCATGAGGAGCCCACCCCCTCAATACACATCCCAACACCTGTATTATTCCGATTTGGAACAGAACTGGTGAATGGGGGCGCTTGTCATTTGGACTGAGATCAATGAATAGGATTCTCTAGATATGTAAAACTCTCCTATTTATTCTTTAGGTCTTTAGATTTCCCTAAATATTGCAAAGCCAAAAAGATACTTCTTGGGGAAAATATAGTAACTATCTGTTGTGATATGTGATAGTAAGATAGATGACTGTTAAGGAATCTTTGTATTTCAAGTTGCAGTTATTGATGTTTTATAGACTATTTAAAATATAAGATTTAAAAAATTATATAGAATCATTAGAAAAAGTTGTACAATATAAATCTGTGTTCTCAGATTTATAGTTATAGCTCTTTTTTATGGGTAATTTTTTTTTACATCTTCAAAAGAAACCTTAATAATGTTTTTTGTTTTTTTGTTGTTTTTTAAACAACTAGTGTCACTACCAGGCCTCTGGATGATTAACTACCCTATAATATTTCTTTCATCCAAGCTGGTTTATAAAGGAAAGCAAAAACGACAATAAAAGAAATGTACCAATTTATTCTATACTAATAAAGTATTGAACATTAGTGAAAAAAGTATGAAATATTGGAATGCAACACAGAGCAATTCCATTACCCATCGCAGTTTTGGGTCATATACCGTATATAAAGAGTAATTACTTCATTGGTTGGAGACCACAGTGGAGGAATATAGAATTTGATGAAAGAGATTTTAAAATAAAATTTCTATCCCAAAGCATTTGCTTTTCAAAACTTAGCCAACATTACAACTATCTTATTTTGGGTTTGGGTGGCAGGGGTGAGGAGCTGGGAGTGGGGTAAAAGTGCAGAAGAAACAAAGAATGAACAGATTTAAAAAAACTCTTGAGCCATTAATTATACATCAGCACTTTAGATTTTAAAGTATATGTGAAATATAATCTTTAAGATGCCTTAATTAACACATCTTATTCATATGGGTTGTTTTCCTTAAATATTCTCTTTAAACAATATTTTGTGATTTCATATTAGTCTATCAATTGTATGTATCATCTTAGTGATTTTTACTTTATTATTATAAACAAAATTGCAGTATTTTTTTCAGGTCCTAATTGAATATAGTGGAAATCCCATTCCTTGATGACATATTTGTTGCTAATTTTTTCCCCCTTAGCCTTTTACATTTATGATCTTAGGCATAATGTTTTTAATTTTATGAAATTTTTGCTGCCAGTTATTTTCCTTGTTGATTTCCTTTACTGCTTATATGCTTAGAGAGTTCTCATCCCTAGGTCAGTAAATAATTTACCTATATTTTCTTCTGTTTAAGTCACCTAATGTTTCAATTTTTAATTAACTTAGAATACATTGGGCTATCTATTTAGGTGGATGCTAAGGTGGATTTTGGGCTATCTCAAATAGATTTGAGGCTCTATTAAGGTAGGAATCAACATAATTTTTCCCAAATAGTTAACACAATTACCAATAACATAATATTTCCTTCTTTATGATGGATTTCTTGTGCTTTAATCATACACCAATCTCTCCTTCAGTGCTCATCTTTCATACTTAAATATTTAAAGATATAGTACAATAAATGCCTTCTCATTATTTCTGTTTCAAAAATTTCTTGGTTATCCTCATTTATTCTTCTAAACAGATTTTGAATACACTTTATCATATACTCATTTCAGAATATGATAAAGTGTATTCAAAATCTGTTTAGAAGAATAAATGAGGACACATTGGGATTTGCAAAACATTGCATATATTTTGAGGACACTCCAGACACATTGGGGTTTGCAAAATATTGCATTAAACCTGTACATTAAACTGAAAAAAAAAACCCACATTTTAAAAATATTCACTGTCCCGATGAAGAAACACAGTACTTCTATTTTCTTTATATAAAATCTGCACATGTATTAAGGTTATGTCTAAATATTTTATATATTTTACTATTAAGGAAATATTTTTTCATCATAATTTCAAATAAGACATTTTTCTCAATGAGCTTTCACTGTAAAATCAACATGCTTCAATTTCAGCTTGATTTATTCTGTATGTAGAAAAGTATTTATTAGAGTACTTTATTTCATAGACATAAATGAACTTAGCCAGTATTTGAGGACACTGAAGGCCATGAAGATGATTAGAGCACATAAATTTTGTAATTATGAAAGAAACTAAAAGGAGCCACTGGTTATCCATTTTATTCTAAAGTGTAAAATTGCATAGGTGCAATTACACATTTATTTTTATTAAGGAGGGGAAAAAGACAAGAAATTGATTCACCCATGTCTGTAATGACAAGTAAAAGACGAAGGAAGTGGGGACTCTGAGAGTACTTAATTTTTCTCATACTTTGAGCCTAATGCACCTCATCTACCTCATTGTCTGACAGTCCATTGTGGCATAAGCAAGGTGAATAATGTAGGCAACATCTCCCATGGGAATTAAACTAAAAACAAAGGCTCTCAGTAACTGGTATCTAAAGATCATGTTATAAAACTGGTCCCCATGTCCTCAGTCCCACTGGACCCGTTTGTCCCTGGAGGCTGCATACACACCTGTCAGTCACTTGCTCTTGGCTTTAAAGGTGGCAGGATGCCAGCCTCAGCCAAGTGTTCACAGTGCAAAGTGCTTCAGAGACTCCTCTGAAATGAAAGTCAGTATGTAAATGTGCAACATGACATTATTATTCTAGCTTCCTGGCGGCTTTCAGCAAGCACTGCCTGTCACATGAGGTCTCAAGTGTTCTGGCACAGTGTGCAAGCGCTCAAAAGAAGTTGAAGGAATGAAACTGGAGCTACATTTTCAGAGCTATTCAAGCTGGCATGGAGGAATGGAGTCATGGAATCAGGGTTGGATGGTCTCCACCAAACAGCGAGTGCCTGTGATGCCAGGCTACTAAGCAGAATTTTCAATCGTGAAAGGCCACCACTATTTCTTCCTCTGGGTCTAAAATTACAAAATGTACACACCTCCCCCAGGCTCACACCACTCTCTGGGTGCTTTCTGTTCAATCCCCATCCACCCGTTCCCTGGAGCACACCAGTTTGCTTAAATCCAGCTCAAGTTTTAAAATGAAGAAATACAAAAAAAGGAAAAAGTTTAGTTAGAACCCCATTGTAGCAAAAGCTACTGTATGAAGCCCATGGCTATTATTTTTAAGAGGGGGCAGGCTTATTGTATATCTCATCTGTCTTTGATACTATCCTAGAAAGTGACCACTTAGTGGATTTTAATTGACCTTGTCATTTAACCAATCTAAAGATATATGCACCCCTACCTTCATAGCAGCACAATTTACAATAGCTAAGATTTGGAAACAGCCTGAGTGCCTATCAGCAGATGAGTGAATTAAAAAACTGTGGTACATCTATACAATAGAGTATTATGCTGCGTTAAAAAAAGATAGAATTCTTACCATTTGCAACAACATGGATGGAACTGGAGAGCATTTTGCTAAGTGAAATAAGCCAGTCAGAGAAAGGTAAATTTCACATGATCTCACTCATTTGTGGAATATAATGAACATAAACTGATGGACAACAACCGATCCAGAGACAGAAAAACAAACTGTCAAACCTGAGAGGGAAGGCAGGGGAGGATAGTGGGAAGGGGGAGAGATCAACCAAAGGACTTGTATGCATGCATATAAGCCCAACCAATGGATACAGACATCAGTGAGGTGAGGACATGAGTGTGTGTGTGTGGGGATATATTACTTCAAAGAAGGGGGAGGGAGAGAAACAATGATGAGACAATCATTGATTGGTTGCCTCCTGGCCTTCCCACAGTGGGGATGCACCTGGGTATGTGCCCTGACTGGGAATCAACCAGGAACTCCTGGGTCAAAGGTTGATGCTCATCCACTGAACCACACTGACTGGGCAACCTTGTCATTTTTGTTTGCAGTTTTCATTCCTAACAGGTCCTCTAGTTTGTACCCAACAGTTTCTGCTGATGAAATATCTGAAGCTAAAACCAAACTCAGGTGTGGGGGTTATGGGGTTAAAAAACAAGGTCTACTAAATAGTGAGTCATGGTGGGTCCAGGGTCAGCACAGATCCTGTGGTCATTCTGTGACATGACCTCTCTCTTACATCTTTATACCTTCTTTCCCTTGGCTGACGTTTTTCTGTTCATCAGGTACCAGCAACAGAGTCTGAGTGCCCTGCTTCACAGCTACCTTTATACTAGCACGGGTCCACACTACTGGCTACTCACCCTCCTTCCCCTCCCTTTACATCCTGAAATTCTCACAGGCTTCTTGTATGTAACAGACATAGAGTTTAAGTTTAAAAATGTAAGATAGGAAAACAAGCACTGAAGAATACCATTTCTCATACAGAACTTCTTTCTTTATTATATTTTAGGACAGTGAAAAGAAAGGGTTTATAAATAAAATCTATGCCATTCAGGAGGTATGCATCAGTGTCCAGAACATCCTAGATGAAGCGGCTTCCTTAGGCGAAAGGATAAAGAAGTAAGTGATTCTGACACATGGACCTTGGCCTTCTGTGGAGACAGAGTGTCCATTTGTTTCTCAAGAGGGTGAAATGCCAATTCGTTTTGGCAGGGAACACTCCTTCTGGGTGATCTATTGCTCAATCTCTTCATTTACTTTGTTTCTGTCAGTCTTTGGTTCTATGAAAGTTCTGTCAATTTCCTTTCTGAAATTTAGAACATATTGGTTGGAAAGAAATCATTCTTGTAGCTTTGGAGAAATAACACCATTCTAAATTTTAGCACATTTTCACAGTGAAAGACTTTGTTCTTAAACAGAATATCAACTCAAGATAGAAAAAAATAAACTAAGCAAAAATGAAGATTACAGGTAAGGAAGACACAAGTTTTATTGTTGGCTGAGCTATATGTTTAATTTAATTTTTTTTAGTCATATTATATATAGCACTCTACCAAAATATACTTTCAAATTTGTGTATTTATATAGCTAAGATAGTATAGGTGAAATAAACTAATGCTTGGCCATTAAAAATTTGGATGTTTTTAAAAAATTGCCTTAGCACATATCTAATGTAAAATTAAGAAACATTCTTAATTTTATATTACTGTGTTTTACTTGAAATACTTTAATCTACTTTTTAAGACAACTGTTTAATTATAAAAACAATAAGGTGATTTACAACTGATTATCAGTAGAAATATACTAAGGCCCCATACTACTACTGAACTATGTAAAAACTGGCCCACTGGAGAAGGGGTGCTGTATATCCGGTTAAGCCTACATTTTTCTATATCCACTCATTGTTTACTGTTCATAACCGAAAGTGTTCTGCTGATTTGACTCCTTGGGCATACAGAGTATTTGAGGAGTAAGTTATTTAAACTAAAGGTGTGAGTTATTCATTTATTGCCTTTGATCTTTCAAGGGATAATGAGTTTTACCTCATGTCTTTTTTTTTTAATACACTTCCACACATCCATAGATGCTGAGTTTCCATGTTCTCATACCACATTAGACAGAACAGCCTCCCTCTCCCAAATGTGCCTCAAAGCAATGGTCAGTCTTAGACTTCTGAAAATTGATTCCCACCTCTTTTCCCTTCTTCTTCTCAATGTTTTTTTTCTCCATCTCTCAGAGTGTTCTTCTGTTCTCCACACCCAGTCCATGAAGGACATGGTGAAGTCCTAAATTGGGCCTTTCCCTACTGAGTGTTGTCCTTTCTCTGAGGTACATTGGGTATTGCCTGATGGCAGCAACTCACTGATACCAGAAGACCTGGGTCAGCTCTCTGGTCAGGCTAGTGAATGCCTGAGGGAAAATGGTTCTTAATCCCTCTGGGTGCTAGGAGACCTCAGAACAGGTGCTGGCTAGAAAACATGAAGGCCAGTTGAAGCCTAGGACCAGATCATGGCTATGGACCAACCTTTGGTAAACAGGGTTTTGTAGAACTTCCATAGTACAGTAATGATACAAGTATAGGCTGAGGTGCAGCCAATTTTCCTGCACAATAATCTTTTGAATATTAAAAAGAAAAATCCCCTATAGTCACATGTAATATAATGTATATATTCAGAAAGCAGCTTCAGAAGCAATATTTAAGTACAAAGTGAAAAGCCTCTATAATTGCATTTGTTATTATTCCTTCCACAACTTTCTGGAATGGGGATCATATTCTAGATTTAGATTCCTCAATGCATTGTGGAAACAGAAAAGAACAGTCTTGTTTCCCCTGACATTAGCTACACTAGTAAGGATGCTTGGATACTTACTCTTCCAAGAGGAGAAAGAAAGAACACAGGGAGCCTTTCAGAGAAGCTGCCCAGAAGAAGGGTTTTCTGAGGAAAGAGCCAGTTGCCCTTGCACAAGGAACAGTGTGATGGATGGCTCTGAGCTGAGCCCCAGGAGAGCAGGCAGACCCTCAACCTTCTGTTCTCTCCACAAGCAGCAAGAGCAAGGGAGGGAAGACAGGATTCTTTACCTGGCAGTTTACAGGTCGCTCACTCTGGCCATGGGAGGAAAATGATCAAGTCCAAAAACCCAGACCCTAAAGGCAATTGAAAACAAGATGTTTCAACTTTGGTTCTTTTACTTCATTTTTTTTTTTTAAATAACTAAATAGTAAACATTTGATTTAGGAAGACAATAAGCAAGCCATATGCTACAAAACTAAGGAACCACTCATAAGTTATGCTGAGACACAGTACTGGAAGAAAATCTCTTAATAATTATCCTTTATTGGATCAAAAACTGCCCAGGACAAACCCTACTCCAAGTGAATATAACACACATCACCAGGAAATTAGAACAAAAAACACTGACATTTATCCCCATCATGTACAATTTATTTCGTTTAAATTCCTTTTGAGGCCTCCTCCCTTCCTGATAAGAAAGGCTAGATTGCTAATGTTAACCTCTCATGCAGTACTTTCAACTGGACAGTCCCATTCCTAAGCTGGCTGGCCATCATCGCCCTCTGTGTGTTCACAGTCGTCCTGTACTTCATTCCACTGAGATACATTGTCCTTGTCTGGGGTAAGTAAAGCCCTTTTTTTTTTTTTTTTTTTTTTTTTCTCTTTAACTGTCTTAGCTGCTAAGAACAAACTATTTTTAAGGGATGAATTATACTGTCAGTAGTTCCGTATATTTATGGTCTGAAGCTACTCCATGATGAAAAGAGACAGGTTGGTTAAAAATCACAACAGTATAACGATTTAAGTTTACCTGCAAAATGCATTTTTCTTATCTGGCACCATAGGCTCCATCATACTATAAACAGGTAGCCGTGCAGATTCTTCATACATCAAAGAGTAGTTCTGTCTAGATATCACTCTGATTTATTTTCACCACTTATACGTAAACAGAGGCGTTTCAAGCCATATGGTACATTCAGGACAATATGCTTTTGAGCTGTGGTGCTTTGTCTTGTGGAAGTGTCTGTGAACATGGTACCATATACGGCCACCTGTTAAAGAGGTCACCTGTAGGATACAGAAAAGGGTCTGTCATTGACAGGCTGCTTAGGAACAAGAAATCTGCATTGTGTGTACTAAATAAGAATGCTTCTGCAAAAACCCCCTTTAAAAATATTTTTGGGTCCTAATTTTTAATACAGTTATACCGCATGCTAATAGTTCTCGTGTACCAAGTACCAAGTTTCAGCATTTTTTAAAAAATATATATTTTAGTGACTGTACAGAGAAGAAGGGAGAGAGATAAGAGCTTGAAACGGTGATTAGAGAGAAACATCGACCAGCTGCCTCCTGCACACCCCTCACTGGGGATGTGCCCGCAACCAATGTACATGCCCTTGACCGGAATTGAACCTGGGACCCTTCAGGCCACAGACCGACGCTCTACCACTGAGCCAAACCGGCTTCAGCATTCTCCCTCCCCCATATATCTGACAAACTCTTTGTTTGGAAAATTCTTAATCTCCAAGATTGTAAAACTATGACATTAATTACATAGATACGTGCAAATACACACACATGTATACATATTATATATAGACTAGGGGCCCAGTGCATGAATCCGTGCACCCTGAAAGGAACTGTGGGTAATGAGGCTGTAAAAGGCTCAGAGGCAGTTCTCGGCCCGTTTTCGCCCAGCCCCTCCTGCCATGGTCCCCATTCCATCTGCCATCACTGCTCCCACATGCCAACAGCACCAGCCCCACTCAACACCTGCTGATGGTGCAGAGCGATGGAGGCCAGTACCAGCAGTGGGTACAAGCGGCAGCTACTGTCCTGATAGCCTCTCAGAAGCAGGGGGAAGTGGAGAAGCCCTCAGGGGCTATCAAGGCCTGTAGCCACTGCTTGCACCTGCTGATGGCATTGAGTGGTAGGGACTGGCGCTGTGCACCGGTGGAAGTGGGTGTGAGCGGCAGCTCCAGCTGTGGGTTTGAGTGGGTCCAGCGCTGGCAGCAGGTGCGAGTGCCAGGAGGGACCGCAGCATGTAGGAGCAAAGAATTTTCAGTAATCACCAGCAGCTCATCCTGATAACACCAACTGGTGCTCTGCCTTGGTCTGGCGCCCCTGCTCACTTGCTCCCTCATCTCACAGCAGCCAATGGCCGCCATGTCCTGCACCCTGGTGGTCAGCGCACATCATAGTAACCTGGCTACCGGCACCGGTTTTCTTCCAGCACTTGGGACCTAGGCCTTCGCTCTGGCCAGAGGACCACTCCTGTAACTCCCCCCCCCACCCCCCCCCGCCATCCTCCTCATAGCAGGCGTCCTGCCCTGCTCACTGCTCCACACCTGGAGTGGCTGGGGGCAGAACTGCTGCCATCTTTGTCCTGACAATTTGCATATTCCCTCCTGATTTGCTGGTGGGTGCTGCAGAGGTAAAGTCAATTTACATATCTTTTTATTAGTATAGATATGCACACACAGAGACTGGATAGAAGTAGAATTTCCTACTTGCCCCTGGTCTCCACACACTTAAGATTGCTAAACTTATGCAAAATGAAGAAAAGCGAAATGGGCCTTAACTCCAGACAACATGTGCTCATACTGACGACAAAAAGATCAAAGAATGTTTGTTTTTTCTTTTTAAGGCTTTAAAGCACTATACTGGAATAAAGGGAGTCAGATGTCTCTAAGTCCTCCACTTTTTAAAAAAATATATATTTTATTGATTTTGTACAGAGAGGAAGGGAGAGAGATAGTCAGAAACATCAATGAGAGAGAGTCAATCAGCTGCCTCCTGCACACTCCCCACCGGGGATATGCCCGCAACCAAGGCACATGCCCCCGACCGGAATCGAACCCGGGACCCCCCAGTCCCCAAGCCGACACTCTATCTACCGAGCCAAACCGGTCCCGGCTAAGTCCTCCACTTTTAAGATTCCTTTCTCCCTAATTTTTTCCTATCATAACTATGTCCTCTTACCACTTATCATAACCTTACCTCTGTATCTTAGGTAGGAAGAAAGGGGTAATGGGAATAGAGACTAAACTATAGAAAATAAGAAAAAAACAAAGAAACAGTTTCACCTAAGACAGTACTTTCACTATGCTGGGGAAAAGGCATTTTCCACCAACTTCTTTTTCCTTAGTGTATGTTCCAGCCCTCATCTTGCATTCCTTTCTCTGATATTTAAAACAGATGCTCTTATTGTAAAGGAATTAGAGTAGAGCATTTGGCAGTTATTACCTCTAATCAACTGAGGGCCACTCCTGCCATCTAGGTTTGATAGGTGGTCAATCTGGTTTCGTTTGCCAAAGTTTCCCAGGTTCCTGGAGGCTGGAGTCTACGGCAGATGTCTGGCTCTGTAACTTGGGAGCCACTGGCTAGCTGTCTTAAATGTAATTTTTAGAGAATGTGTTTGAGCCTCTTGTTTCATTCAATGAAATAAAAACAGTATTCCTTTAGTGGTAAGTGACTGCTGAAATATTAACAAGAAATTTCAGAGGGGCCTATGGGGACATAGGAAGAAAATTACTTTGTGGCTCTTCTTGAGGGTATGCAGCAATGTTCTAGTTTATGGCTCAGGTTTCACCAGACTACTGATTTCATATACAGTTGTTTACTGGTATATATTTCAATGAGCCTATGTTTGGTAATTTAAGTGCAATCCTATATAATAAAAGCCTAATATGCTAAGTGTCTGGTTATCTGTTCAACCAGTCAAAGTGTAATATAATATGTTAAGGCCATTCAACCGTTTGCTATGACCTGCACTGATCACCAGGGGGCAGACACTCCGACCAGTAGGTTAACTTGCTGATCAGGACTGAGTGAGACGGGCAGGACACACCCTGGAGCCCTACCATGGTCCTTCCCCAGCCCTGATCATGCACTGCTAGGGTCCCTAGGCCTGGCCTTCGCCTCTTGCAATCTGGGACCCCTTGGGGGATGCCCGTTCAGACAGATCCTGCGCAGGCCAGGCTGAGGGACCCCACTGGTGCACAAATTTGTGCACTGTGCCTCTAGTATAAATTTAAAAGAATAGATTTGTCTCATTGAAATTCTACATAACACAGAATATGTAGGATACTTCTAAGTTTTATACATTATTTTGACATTTCACCTGCACTGACCCTTTATCTACACCAACTCTCCAGGTAGTACAGAGGATTAACTAATGAGTAACTTAGTATAGGTAGATGTTGTTTATCTCTAATGATTCTTGGCTATTGTGATCCAAATGAGTCAATCATGGCAGCATCTTTTGCAAGAATTTAATGTTCACTTCTTTTAATTTAAAAGAAAAACTGATTTCTAAAAATCCCAATGCCAAAGATAGAAACATTTTTTTCTTGTGATGAGAACTTTTAAAATGTACTTGTAGCAACTTTCAAAAATGCAATTACAATATTATTAACAATAGTCACCGTGGTATTCATCAAATCCCCATGACTTATTTATAACTGGAATTTTGTACCTTATGACCCCTTTAGCCCACTATCCAGTCCCCTCTCTCTTGTAACCACCAATCTGTTCTCTGGATCTATGAGCTCATTTTTGTTTTAGATTCCATGTGTGAAATCATACAGTATTTGTTTTTCTGACTTATTTCACTTAATATAATGTCCTCAAGGTCCATCCATGTACTTGGAAATGGCAAGATTTCATTCTGTTTTTATTGTAGAATAACATTCCATTATATATCACATTTTCCTTATTCATTGATTGGTTAACACTTTAGTTGTTTCCATTATTTTGGCTATTGTAAATAAGGCTAAATGAACATGCAGAGTATATATATTTTTGAGTTAGTGTTTTATTCAATTAAATACTCAAAAATGGAATTGTCTGATGATACTGTAGTTCTATTTTTAATTTTTTGAGGAACCTTCATACTGTTTTCTGTAGTGGTTGCACCAATTTACAATCCCACCAAGAGTGTACAATGGTTTTCTTTTCTCCACATTCTTGCCAATACTTAACTTTAAAAAAACAACAGGTTTGTCATTTTGATTTGTATTTCCCTGATCAGACTCCTGATGGCCATCTGTATGTCTTCTTTGGAAAAATTTCTATTCAGGTCCTAGCTCAAAGAAGATATACAAATGGCTCAGTTGCTTGGAGTCATCCCATATACCAGAAACTGTTGTGGGTGTTCTCCCTGATCCAGGCACATACTAAAGCAATCCATCAATTTTTTTTTATCTCCCAACATCAATAAAAACATCCTTCAGTGAAGACACATACACAAAGCATCACAATGAGAATACCTTACACCAGTAATAACGGCTATTGTCAACAGGACAAGAAATAACAAATACTGATGTGGATGTGGAGAAACGGAACTTTTGTGCACTATTGGTGAGACTGTAAATTGGTATAGGCACTACAGAAAATTAATATGGAAGTTCTCCAAAAAATTAAATTAGAGATTCCATATAATCCAGCTATTCCACTTCTGGGTATTTAAAGAAATCCAAAATGCTAATTTGAAAAAACATATATATATGTTCATTTTAGCATTATTTATAATAACCAAGACATGAAAACAACTTAGGAGTCCATCAATAAATTATTGGTACACATTTATATAATGGAATATTAATCAGCCATAAACAGGAATGTAATCTTGCTGTTTGAGTCAACATGAATGGACCTAGGGAGTATTATGCTATATATACTTCCTATATATAGTAACACTGCTGTATTATATAAAAGAAAGTTGTTAAGAGAACAGATACTAAGTTCTCATAGCAAGAAATGTTTTTCCTTTCTTTGTTTTGTAGCCCTAAGATAGATGTTAAGTAAGCCTACTGTGATAATCATTTCATATGCTATACACCTTAAACCTATATAGTCAAGTATGTCAATTATTTCTCAGTAAAACTGGAAGAAAAAAAAGCTAATTAGTTTGAGGGCTTCTCTCTCATATATTAAGTCTTAACAATTGGGGATGCCTGATCTGGGTTTCAAATCCTAAGCTCCTCAGGGAGATGCTCTGGATTGGAATTCTCTCCAGACCGAGGTGCTGCATCGGGGTTGGGGTTCATGGTGACATTGTGCCACAGACTCTCCTACCTGTTTCCACGTGGCCTTTTCTTGTTCGTCCAATGTGTAATATTCACTCAGCCAGTTTTCAGAGAAAGTTTTTCCATAGCAACTGTAGATCTGGTGTGTTTATCGGAGTTCAGGATCCTTTTATACCACCATCTTCAAAGCTGCGGTTGTTTTTAAGCTGGTGATAAATTCTTTTCCATTCAAAGTAACTTTGAAATAAAATCAAGGTCTTCTACACATTTATCCTGCATAACAGTGACACCTTTCCCAACCACTCCCCCTACCCCTCCACAACACACACACATTTTATCTTTTGAAAAAGAGAAAATCAATAAATGAGACTTCTTGCCTTAAAAACAATCCCATTCAAAATGCAGGAAGTAAATTTTCATCATAGATGGGACACTGAAGTATAGTAACACGGAGGGGAGAGGAGAAGAGAAGCAAATAAGGTCACTGACTATTTTTTCTACAAAAGAAGTCACTAAAATACAAAGAGAAAGACAGCAGTCATTGGGTTGGGAAAGAGAGGTAGAGTTTAGAGAAGGAAGAGACACAGCTGGATTTATTGGTTTATTCAAGGCTAAAGGGCAGCTTAATCTAGATCTTCGAATCACATTTGCCAGAAATGTGTTTTCTATAACAAACCATGGAGATTTCAATAATCTTATCACTTTTTTAGGCATCAATAAATTTACAAAAAAGCTTCGGTGTCCCTATGCAATTGACAACAATGAACTGCTTGACTTCCTTTCCAGAGTCCCTTCAGATGTACAAATGGTATGTAGAGTTCACTATTATTACTACTAGTTTAATGTAGGGTAGCATTAGTGTTTTTAACTTTATATCCTTTTAATTTCAAAGGTTTTAAAGAGACAGGTAAAGTTAATAAAGTCTGTAGCTGATCATGCTGTTGAGAAATTTAGCCTACTTGGGGTGCTCACCTAGCAGAACTCAGAATGGGAGGGGTTGCATCAAGGACCTACTAGCGCCTTCAGGAACAGGGAAGGTCAGCTGGAGACTGAAGGGAAGTCACCGTTACCTGAAGGGAGGAAACAGGAATATTAGATGATGAAAGCAAAGTGTGCCAGTGGACATTTGGGAGAAAAACTCTTCTTTGCACAATCTGCACAAATGGAATGAATTTTAAAGATGCTTATTTAAAGTCAGTGAGTGGGGGAGAAGGCGTTTTGAAGACTGGAGCACATCTCAATTCTTTAAAATTCTTTCAGGTTAATTAATGTCCATTAATCAACACCACTTAATCAACTATTTTCAGAGTAAAATGAGAAATGTTTTTATCAAAATCTTAAAACTAGGTTACAGTCATACCTATTTGCTTTGTTCCAGTTGAGTTTTTATTTAGTGTCAGACATCAGAGTGAGCTGGATATTAAACCTATATTAAACAATCATCTGTAAAGAACCATTATCCATCCCTTCAGAATATATGAGGTTTTGCTTTTAATGTTATGTCTTATGGAGAGTGAAAACCCAAGTCTGTTACCAGAGGTCACGTTGGGGCTCTCATGTAGCTTCTGGCAGGATTTCCCTCAGACTCTTGCTGTATCACTCTATTGTTTTCTGTATCCCAGCTGCATCTCTCATACAGCTTCCAGAGTGAGCACTTTTTCCCTCCAAGCAGTCTTTCCTTCCTTTGCCAGAAAGTGGCCACCTGACCAGTCTTTCTCTGAACTCTGTTTAAACAGGTGCAATACCAAGAACTGAAACCAGATCCCTCTCACAGCCCATGTAAAAGGAAGAAAAACAATCTTGGCTAGCTAGCTCCCAGCACTGAGAAGACCAGCATCTGTTTGGGAAGATAAAAAAGCCTTCAAGCCTCAGCAGCATTTCCTTTCTTTCTGCTTTTTATTTATTTTACCTCTTAAAAAATGATCGTGAGAATTTGTAAATAGTGTATAAGGGCATATGTCTTTGAACATATACTTCCATTGTACAGAATAAATTTGATAAAAAAAAGTTTACTTACTGCTGTAATGAAAGCCTTGTTAGTGATGGCTAATAATATAACACACTGGAATAACAAATGGTAAAAATGGTAACACTGGGAGATACACACTCTCTAATTACAAGTAGAAGAACCAGATTAGATTAAATGCTTTGTTTTGCCTGATTAAATCTTTTACATACATGTTAAAGTTTTCTTCATGTGACTATTTTTTATCTGAAAAGTACATTACAGTTTTCTATGTTTTACACTATTTGAAAGGGAGGAGGGAGTCCCAAGACGTGAATAATGGAACAGATGCATTTCAATTTCACATAAATTCTGATTTCAGATCCTGACATTTATTCCTGAGCAAAGTATTTAGCTATGATTAGGCTGACTTTAGCTAATGAATGAAGTACGTATGTAAACCCTCAAAAGAATCTATACTCTGAAATCCTACAAAGAAAACTTTCCTTCTATCATTCCATCTAAAACCTTAAAATCTCTACAGGATTATACATAAGTACTGCCAGGTTTATAAATGAATGCCTATCTGAGTTTTTATACCTACCACTACTTTAATTTGTATCAAGTTATTAAATTAGCAAAATTTCAGTAAACATACTAGCATACTAAATCCATACTGCTTTTGGTGTCAGATTATACCCCTGAATATCTAAAGATATTTAATACTCACATGTTCTCATAGAAAAAAATGTTATGTGCTTTCTCATTAGATTACTGAAATCTTTAATGCATACTATGATTTTTGTTATTAGCGTAAATTGTAATGTAGAGGAGAATGCAGTGTGCTAAATGATATGCCAGTGTTTCATTACATTAATTTATAGGAAAAAAATAATCATTCTTGAAAATATGAATGCATGAAAATCTATTTTGTAAAATAAACAGCTTATGGGGAGGGGAAGTTTGCCTTTAAAAAGATTTCACTACTTACTATAGAATCTATATTTAAAAATTGCATTCCCAAGACTCTTGTGGTAGTTTTTCTATCTAACTTCAAGTAAGTGTACCTCGGGGAAGAGAAATAATTTGGTGAGAATGTCTTACTTCTCCTCTGACTTGGTAGGGGATTAATCTTGCCTAAAATTGCTACAGAATGTTTTGCACTACTTTATTAATAGACTGAGAAAGGGTGAAGATGGGGATTATATTAGAAAAATGTAGAAAAGACTGAAGCAAGAAACATATCTCTCTAAATTCTTTAACAATAAATTATATCTCATCAAAGCTGACTTTTTACAGTATTTTTATTTTAAAGCTATGTTGTTAAATACTATTTCTTATGATAGAACTATTTTGATCTGTTTATACACTATGGTTGAAAGATTGTCAATTAAATTCCTTTCTATAGAAAGGCTTTGACCTCAAACTCCATTTAGTGCATCATGTTTGTAATGACATGCTTATATTCGCATACCGTCACTCTATGTTGCAATATTCCATGAAGTTGTTACTACAGAAAGTTTGTTGATAGGATAATTTGTTTGAAATTATCTTTGATTATATCTTGTATGAGGTTTACATTTCAAGCTGACAGTGTCTGCTCAAATGTCTATAAGCCTGATATTCTACAACCCCAGATGTACCTAGTGGATAGTAACCATTAATGGATGATTAATTTTTGTTTCATTCTATTAAATTTCGATGTTTAGTTCAATGGCAATGTTGCCTATACCTTCACTGCATTAAATAAAAAACCTTTTCTAAATATAATCAACATTTCTTTTTTTGGTGGCTAAGGGAGGATTGTGTATATACTCTTAAGACACTTAGATAAACTCATGTTTGGTTTGGACATATAAGGCTTTCCCCGAATCCTGGACTATTAATAAAATTCAATACCTTCTGAAGGGTGAGCATCCAAGGAAGCTGACAGAGGAGTAAGAACTATCTGGAGGTATGAAAGTGATATTCTTAGGAATCTTCATTGCGTTTAGAAACTACTACATTCACAGGCTAAAAACAAGAGACTATGTCTAGTAAAACTTTTAACTCTTTCCCCTATGTGAGGGGTTTACAGAGCAGTTTAGTTTTGAGAGATTTGCCACGTAAATATTTCAAGATGTCTGACACCTACTTAGATGGTTAAATACAGAAATCATGTAAAGTACTAAATATATTCCTTAGTATTTTTTTTAGTGAGTCAACTCATTGAAGGTCATTCATATTCCAACTATCATACTTGTAAGAAATGCATATCTTAACTTTTTTTTCATCTATAAAAAGAACTTAGTACTTCTGGTTCATTTTGGTACTGTTCCACGAACTCAAATTGATAAATTCTGTAGGGATTCCAAAATATTTTTGAATCATTCTATGCACAAGGAAAATCTGAATAGACAGATTCTTTGGATAACTTTGCTTTGTGGTACATTTATTGATATCACCCCAATGATGGTGTATTAAAATCAATCCTGAAGCTAAAGTATAGTGAGAGCAAAATTTAATTGACATATTTACGAAAGTATCTTTTGTATTTAAAAGTGAAGAAAACTTCAGTGGTAAGCTCTCTTACTCATAGGAACTTTTCTTCCCCCATTTTAATCTCAATATCTGAATGTAGTTTACTCTTGTATTAACAAGTCTTCCTCTGAAGCTTTTAGTTTCTACATTTGTTAAATATTAACTATTTTTGACTTTTGTACTCATTTAGCTTAAAAACAAACAAACAAAATATATATGTAAGGCAGCTACTGCTCTAGAAAAACAAATAAAGATAGCCACCATTACACTTTTTGCAAAAGCCTCAGGTTATTATTAATACTTATTTTAAATTCTGAACTTATTGACTGTGAGTATATATGGACAGATGCCTATTCATTTGGTTAGAATATCTAGAATCAGCCTATTCTAACTGCTCATACAAGTGTAAATTAAAACCACAAGAAAGTAACATAATGAATACTTACAATAGTGTTATTCCTTTAAATTATAATTCTCTTTCCTAGGATAACTGGTATAACACACTGAAGACAACAACAACTCATCAACTTAATGTAACCTCTTATACCTCAGGCTTTTTACATTTGTAGAATGGCAATAACATAATATTTATTCTAGCTGAATCTGAGATTTAAGAAATATCAAGGAAAATCTCTCATTATGTAAGAACATTATGGAAATAAAAATGTCCAAAGTGATCACATGCTATTGAAACTAACAACACTATGAAAGGTTTGCTGAAAACATAATTTTTACATATGTACTTTTACCAGGGGTTCTGGATTAACCCCCAACCCCTACCCTAAAAGGTGAAACAACCAAATATATAATTGGTCTCAAATAAGTTTCAAATTATTGGGATCTCTTGCCGAAACCGGTTTGGCTCAGTGGTAGAGCATTGATCTGCGGACTAAAAGGTTCCAGGTTCGATTCCGGTCAAGGGCATGTACATTGGTTGCGGGCACATCCCCGGTGGGGGGTGTGCAGGAGGCAGCTGGTCGATGTTTCTCTCTCATCATTGTTTCTGGCTCTCTATCTCTCTCCCTTCCTCTCTGTAAAAAATCAATATAATATATTTTTAAAAGAAAATTATTGGGATCTCCTATCCTTCACGCTCAAAACTGACAATATAAAACTGTTCTATGCACAAACAATATTTTTGTAGACAGGTTTATTTATATTTGGTTGTGTCTCCAAATGTCACTGAAAAATTATATGACTCCATTTTTAAAAAGGAAACCAAATAGCACAGCTGCTCTGGTCAATTAACAGTGTTATTCTAAACCACAGGTGGGGAACCTTTTTTCTGCCAATGGTCATTAGATATTTATAACATTGTTTGAAGGACATACAAAATTATTAACTTAAAAATTAGTCTCCTATATTTGGTCAAACATTAACTAACACATCCCTGATACCTTGGCAGAGCCGACAAATGATTTTGAGGACCTTACAGGGCCTGTGGGCCGGATATTCCCCACTCCTGCAAGTTGAAACCTTTATCAAGCTAAACAAATAGTTATGAAAGTAGCTTTGTGCCCAAGTATTTTTAGTTTAGCAAAAATAAAGTAATTCTCCCAAAGAGAAAAGGAATGACTAACCTGAAAGTCAATGAGCAAACCTTCAAACCATCAGGAATGCATCTGATGCAATACTGAGATCTGGTTGAGTATGGCTTCTTCTGCTTATGCTTCTAAGGCAAGGTAATGAGATAAGCTCAGTTCCACTTTCTAGTCAAAGGCAAGCTTCATTGCCAAAAGTCAACTTGAGGCATGCTATCTTACCAGAGTTCAAAATGGTAACAAGTTTAGGGGAAATGCTACCTGTATATTGAGAGGTGCACACCTGGCCCCACCACTCTTCATTGTCTCTTAATTACTGGAGACATACCTGCAATAACAGTGAAGATAAATTATAGTTACAGCTGGACCACAGGAAAAAAAAAAGTGAGAGGGAGGAAATGCCATTACTTGTTCTAAGTTTAGAGATCTTCTTTTAATAACGCTACTCAAAGAAGTGAAAAACTTTGAACTCTACATCATCTCCACAAAACATCCTTTTACATAACAGAACGACAATTACCAGTCAAAATTTGTGTCTAACATGTGACACTGGAACCATGAAAAACATTTTATTGCTGTCAAATTTGATAAAGATTTAAATATCTATTTTCTACTATACAGAGAGATGTTGGTGATTTTGTCTTTGTTTTATAAGGGATGTAGCTCACCCAAGTTCTGACCCAACCTTACATAATGGCATTCCTATCACTTACCCTAGTCCTAGAACTCACAGACTTCAGATTCCATTAACACGGAGAATTAGCCAACCATAGCAGGGTTTTTGAAGCATATGGGAACCCAC